AACTGATGATGATGATGAATATAATAGTCAAGAACGAGAAAATTTTCTTTTATCATTAACATCATCACCTTCATATATAAATTTATTTTCATCTTATGCTGCTTATAGAGATTTAACATTTCATACTATATTTCGTTTATTAGAAAGTTTATGTGGATATATTGAATAAACAAAAACAATCAACTATATATATTTAACCTCGAACATAATGTGGAATACCATCAATAACAAAAATTATTTTTGTTTTTGGAGTTTTTGTAGTTTGAGTATCGTTTTTTGTCAAAACTAAAAAATAAATTTAATTAAAATAAAAAAAAAATTTCTTTTTTTTTACATACATTCAACTTTAGATACAATAAAATGCCATATTTGATCATCATACTCAAGTTGATACTAAAAAAAAAACAATGTTCGAAATGCAATTGTGATTAACATTTGACGACTCTAGTTAGTTCAAAAATATATAAGATTTTGATTTACAGTGAACTAGAGTATGTTATAAATAGATTTTAGAATCAAAGAAAAATATCTATTTGAGGAAAAGTTGGGTGTGGGTGTAAATGATAAAAATTTGATTTTTATTTAAGAACATTTTGAATAAATTTAACAGACGAAGATATCAATTGTAGTATTACGATGAAAAGAAAAATGATATTCAGTTACTTGAATTAAAAAAGAAAAAGAAATCGAGGTTAAGAAGTCTGTTTTGAGGTCAGAATACAAATTTTCTTTCTCAAAAGAATTTCGAAATACTAATATATATATATATATCAAATTTCTTCGTAAATCTATTGATATTTGAAATTATAAATATTTATCATTAAGTGTTTATTAATTCGAGTTTGAATTTCAATAATTATCAACTAAACTTTTTTTTTTAAAAGTTTTCATTAAAATTTATCAAAAAGTCTTTTGTATTTTTCTAGACTAACCTTAATGACTCTCTAATAGATATTATTAAATATCAATTAATCATCCTAAGTGTCATATATATATATAGGATACTATATCATTTTAATACTTCTTTATGAAAGGTTGAAAGATTATCCTGTTTATATTGTGTCTAACCTCATAAAGAGAAAAACTATAACATCTAAACTTAATAATTAATCTTTAATGAACCTAAAAAAAAAAATATTTTGAAATATTTAAAATTATAATCTTATTACTTGATGTCCAATATTACATTGAAATGTACCATTAAAATATATAATAAATTTTTCTGCTAAATTTTTTAATTTTTCTTCTTCAATATAACTACCAATTTTATTTCGAAAATTATTTATTCTATAATAGAAATAAAAAAATTATTAATTTCAAAATAAATAAATCAATTTCAATAATTTACTTTTGTGTATTAACATTTAACCAAAGTTCTGTAATAGCTGATGGTTTATTTGAATTTCTAGAAATAGAATAAATAAATTTTTTTTTTTTTTATAAATTAATATTAACTGAATTTGAATATATTCTTTTGAATATTCTAATAGAGAAGTAAATGTTTTTGTACGATATAAATTATTTGTATAAAATGATTCAGCTAATGCTTTTACTGATATAATTTCTTCGTTATTATTCATAGAAATAAATTTTTCAGGTGCTGAATAACGTTGTAATACTAATAATAATATAAATTCAAAATATAATAAATAAATCAATTGTATATTTACTTGCTGATTGTTCTGTAAGTATATTTTGACTAACCCAACGACGTATACCACGTAAACGTCGAAACCATGATAAAGAATAAATATCTTGATAACAAAAAAAACAATACATATTTTATGAAACAAAAAAAAATGAGAATACCATTGAAATATACTTACTATGATCATTCATATTTATTTTTATCATTTGTTCTTGTAATTGATTAACTAGAAAAAGATTTAATGATATATTTTCGTTTTCTATGAATTAAACATACGAAAATAACTATCAAGATAATTAATAATATATTGAATTTGTTCTTCAAATGATATATTATTATTTTCATTAAATAAATCATTTAAATAATTTTTAAATATATAATTATATTCTATTGTATCAATAGTCCATTTATTTTGATTAAGATCATAAGATAATATTAATGTTGATGATAAAATATCTATTCTATGATAAAAAAGATAATATATTCTTGTTGAATTATCATATCGAATAGAAATTTTTCTAGTTTTATATATTTCTTGATCATGTAAAGCTAACATTATACTATTACAACAAATGATTTTTATCTTTTTTTTTGGAATAAAATGTATCTTCTAATACAAACACGTAGTAACATTATTTTGTTTATATTACATGTCAATAGATAAGAAAGATAAAAAAATTTGGAATTTAGTAACCATTACTTCAATAAGTGCAATAGAATGCTTACAAGTATTCGAATATAGTATCAGACAGATTTTCTTTTTCAAAAAATTTTCGTGCTTTTTTTTAGTAATGTTATATAAATAAATTGATTTAATAATCAAAGAAAAGTTAAAAAAAAATGTAATATTCATAAAAAAATCCTGATATATGTTTAATAATAAATTGTAGACTTTGAAATATTATTAGAAGTTCTTATATGATATGTTTTTTTATACAATTATCAATTCTTATGTTTGTATTCAATTGAAATATGATAATTTTATTAATAATTATACTTTTGAATATAACTTTTTTTTTTATTAATCAATCAATTATCTACGAAAAAAATATTGTGTTTCATCAGATTTTACTTTGAAATAGGCTTAGTCTTGCTTTTGACATTATATTGAACATAATGACATGTTCTATATAGAGAAATACTAATATTAGAATTCCCTTAGGTGATAGAATGAAGAGACAATCCTCTTTTTAATATAATAGTATTATATTCGCAAGGGAGTATTTTTCTTGATGAATATTTTGAATATGACATAGAAGTAAGCTGTTCTAATTGAACTCTTTTAATATGTCGCTATGTATTTTTTGTTACATGTATTCATATGTCCATTTTAATAATTCGATGGTATGAATATGTAAGATAGAATTTTAGATTCTAAATTATATTTTTCATTATAAAGCGATTATGAAAGAAAATTTTAGTTATAATGGTAAAATAATAATGATTATATGTTGCTACATTCTAATTTTCACCTATTAATTATTATTTATTAACATAAAATTTTCTAAAAATGTGTATAATGAGTCTTAATAATATGTCATTACTAACATATTAGTTTATAATTGATTTAGTCACAATATTCGTCTGGATATTTTCCAAGAAATTTTATCTGTCTACTGCACTTAGATAATTAAAAAAAAAGAAATAACGAGTACTTAAATAGAATAAAAGATAAAAAAAAAAAAAGCATTAATTTGATATTTTAGTTTTTCTTTTTATTATTCATAGTTAATTTATTTCGGAATTGAGTTCGACATTGAGAAATGTTTACATATTCTATAGTTAAATAAATATTGAATTAAAATTTTGTTTTTTTTATTTCTTTTTTTGTCTATTGATTTAAAAAATGTGAAAATGAAACTTGAATTATTTATTTATTTTTTTGCCTTTTGCTTTTTTTTTCCTAATACTTAATATGAAGTACTCTTGAAATATACTTTTCTTCTTCGTCTTCGACTTTTTTTCTTTTTGTATCTAAAAAGAAAATATTATTTTTTCTTTTTGTTCTTATTCTAAATAATTATATCCTATAGTTTTTGTATTTCTTTACTTCGTTTTAAGTATCTAATTATTATTCTATTATAGATAAATGAAATAGAATAGTCTATTTTTCTAAGATTATTTGTACTATATAATCTTTTGATATAACTTGTTAATTATGTTATATATATTGGCATTAACAAGTATTTTAATATTATGATGATAAAATGAAAAATCATATGATTGTATAATGAGATACTTTATGTTAAAAAATAATTGAATGAATATAATTATTAAAAAAAAAAAAAATTTTAATTTTTATTGAATTAATAATTCTTTACTAAGGCAATCAGTTATATAGGTCGACAAGGTCATCATGCTCTACACCCGTCAAAACAGCATTAAAAAAAATATTTCATTGTTGATATACGTATAGATTTGTCAACACATATTAAATTCCGATGATGACAAGCGCATTTTTTTCTATTATATTTTATATTTAATTAAAAACGTCAATATTTTGCTTGTCATCGTTGATAAAATAAGCAATTAAAAATATAAGAATATACCTTTCAACAAAATCATGTCACAACTAATGAGTCTTTCAAAACCAAAAACAAAAAGAAAAAAATAACGACAACAACTTGTTATCTCTCATATCTTTTTTTATTTTATTTTATTTTATTTCACATATTGTTTTCTTTCACTGATAAATTGATATAAGAGATTGAATATGTCACAAATCATTTTCAAATAAAAAAAAAAAAGAAAGGAAAACAAACAAACAAGCAAACGATTTCTAGTAATAAACTTTGCAAGAAAAGAACAAAAAAAAAAACAAATCTAGATTAAACCAACCTTACAAACAACAGTGAATAACAGCAAACAAGCAAACAACAATATTTAAAAACAAAACAAAACAAAAATAAATTACGTATCACAGATTAACGAGATTCTGTCATAAAACTCTCATTATAGGAAAAAGAAAAATAACGTATATATACGTATTCTTTTATTGTCTCGTTAGTTTTTTTTTCTCTCTCTCACAAGTTTCAATTATTTCCATTTTGCTTTTTTTTGGTTGACATATATATTCACGAACAAAAAACTCGAATACAAAGAGAATCTAACAAAGGAAAAAAATAATAAAAACCAAAACAAAAGAAAAAAACGAAATCACAGGCAAATAGAAAATATTAATAATTCGCAAATATTTTCTTTTCTTTAAAAATAAAAATAAAACAACATACGAATCATGATGCGTATAATAGCACCACTTAAATTAATGAAAACTATTTATATTCATTTACAATAATCAATGATGTTATAGATATAATTACTGTTGAGCAAAAAATTTTTTTCTATGTCAATATTATTTATATGTTTCTGTTCGTTGAAAACCACCGATCCGACCATCTCTAAAAAAAATAAATAAATAATATTTATAATTATTACAATAGATGAAAAAAGAACTAAATATTTTTGGTTTTCATGGCTGAAAAATTATCTTAGTAAATACAAAAAAAAAAAAAGTTCTTCTCACTATCAGAATAAAAAAAAAATTTCTTATTGTTTTCAACTGATGAAAAAAACTCATTCGATTGATAATCTTTATTCGAATTCTTATTATGTTAATTATTAGAATTGTTTATATAGATACAAATCTTAAAAGAAATATATATCATAAAAGTTTTTTTTTTTTTTGTCTCGACTTATAATCAGAAAAAAAATGAATTAAGAAATATTAGTATGAAATTTTATCTCAAAAATAATAATCTCATAATTCTTGTAATATTCTGCAAGTTTAAGCAAAGAAATATGATATGACAAAACTAGTGGTTTCTCTCAAAAGATATAAACCAATGCGGCTTTCTTTTTTATCTACGCGTACATAATATCTTCAAAAGAAATTATGTGTCTTTGCTGAAACATATAGAAATATAATAAAGACATTGAAAATCTATCTTCAGGTTATAATTAAGATTAAAACTTCCTGATTTAATTTTCCTTGTAATATTCTACAAGAGACGAAATATTCATTAAAATAGTCATGACTAAAAAAAGTAAATGCTAATGGCATATTATCTTTTAACACTTTTATCTTCATAAATAGATCTTAGTTATTAGCTAAATATGATCTTGAATAAAGATTATCAGTTGAAGGAGTTCTCTTATGAAATAATTTCAAGCAAGCTTAATTGGAATTTGTATGTATTAGCAGCAGGAGCAAAAGTAATAGCTAGTGTGTGTGTGTGTTTTTTTTAGTAGTTCTTTGTATACCTGAACTAAATTTGTTGTTGTTTTCTTTTTATCCATTATACTAAACTTACTGAATAACGGGAGGATTTTTTTTTTAAAAGAAATGTATAATCAGGAAATAAATCGAAAATATATTATGTATTTTTTTTTTGTATCTTACCTTGCATAGGTAGTAAGATTTGTACAAAATTGATTCCATCTTAAAAAAAAATCAAATGTAAATAAATACACAAAAATTCAAATTACAAGAAAAAATCAAACAAAACTTACAATCCAACTTTATATTCAGACATTTTTTCTGATGTTAATAATTGTATTGATGTCATATTTAATGGTTGTTCACTTTGCATATGTTCATCATCAACATGTGTCATAAATTGTTGTGGTGTAAATACTTGATCACAACGAAAACAATGTATACAACGATAATCAGGTTCATTAAACCATGTTGGAAATAATTGTCCCATTGTATCAATTGTTTTATTTGTATAAATTTTTGTATGTCGTACAACAAGTTTAGGTAATTTATCCATATCACAATAACCACGTTCAGCAATAGCACGTTGTAAATCAATACTACGTGCACGAATATTAGGTAATGGTAATTCATGTGGTGTATTTGGTGGACTTATTAATATTGAAGAATTTTGTGCAACAATAGGTGTTGTTGATGGTGCTCGTGATTGTACTGGTGTTGGACGACGTGGTTGAAGATAAGGTTCAGTTTTACGTACTGCCATTCCATTCATTGGTGTTGTTGATGGTGGTGGTGGCGGTGGTGGTGGATATGGATAACGCATAGAAGGATTTGTTGTTGAAGGAGATGTTGATGGCCAATGTGATGATGATGATGATGAAAATGCGGAAGATTGTGGTGGTGCTGGTGGAACAAAATATGATTTTGGTGATGGATAAGATGTATATGGTGTTGTTGACATTGTTGTTGGTATAGAATCAATACGACGTTGTTTTCTATTCATAGATATTGATGAATTTTGAATATCTGGTGTTTGTGATGGATCACGTTTTAATGTTTGTGGTATCGATGTTGGAACTGTATATTGTCGATAGATAAATCTTTCATTTGATGTTAATTTATCTGTTGAATGTTGTGATTGTAAATTTGATGATGATTGAAAACAACAAGGTAAACGACATGGTACTGATGATGATGATGATGGTGGTGATGTTTGCATTTTAATTGATGCTTGTTGTTCAGGTGTTAATTGATGATAATAATTTGGTTTTCGAACAATAGGCATAACAACAGATGGTGGTAAATTATGATTATTATTTGTTGATAATGATGATGATGGTAATGTAACTGAATTTAAATGATTATCATAAGAATTTGTCATAGATAATTCTTTAGATTTTTTTACTGTTGGATATTGTATTGAAGAAGAAAATGGATATGAATAAATATTTCCATTATTTAAATTTATTGGTGAATGATAATATGAATGTGAAATAGGTGTTGATGATGGATCACGATATGTATATGAATCTGGATGATAAACACCATATGGTGATGTACGATAAGAAGATGATGATGGAATTGGATGATGAATAGGTGTTGGTTTAGTTAATATCGAAGGATTAGGTATATGTGGTATAGAACGTGATATAATAGTAGGAGGTACACGTGATTCTGAATCTGATATAGTAGGAATATTTGATGATAAATTTTGTTTATTTGTTAATGTTGATTTTTTATTTTTTATTTTATTTCGTTGATTAGCAAGTGCAACATTTTCTTCAACATTAACAATCATTGGCATTGAAAAACTTTCATCAGTTAAATCGATTGGTTCTGTTGTTGATTTAATATTTAATTTTGTTTTATTATCTATTGTTAAATATTTTTTCATTATTGAAAAATTTTCTTTTCTATAACATGTTATTAATGATAAACTAGATGAACGACGTAATAAATTTTTATTTAATTGTTTAATATAAGTAAATGATTTTGAACGATATAAACAACGTGAATTAGTTTTTGATAATGTTGATATATGAACTTTTGTTGTATTTGAAGAATCATGAATATCGTTACTATATGAATTAAGTATACGTCGTTTTATTGGCATATTCATTACGGATGATGATGAACATGATTTATTTAGATGAGTATCATCTGCAAAACTGAAAAAATTCAAAAAATATTATTATTTATTTTGTTTTGATTATTAAATTAATATTATTGCTAAATATATGTTCTTTTAGGTTTGACTAATATATATTTCATAATTATGATTAAAAGTGTATGATGACATTGCATGATTATTTTTAAGTTTTTTGTTTTTTTATGAAAAAAAAAAAAAATCTCATTAATATTATAAGAGATATCTTCTTTTCTATAGAAATTGTGAGTTATTTCTAAAAGTTTTTGCAAAGTCATTAGAATATTTTATATTGATACAAATTTATATAAAGAAAAAAATAATCCAAACTTATTATAGATTTAATATAGCTACTTTTATTAATATCAATAGTACTATTAGTAATGGAACTTATATTAAAAGTGAATAGAACAAACACTTACATGCATAAAAAATTAATTCTTTTTTTAGTCTTATTTTAATCTTGGACATCATGTATCTTTATCTTTTTTTTGCCCTCAAATACCTCGAGCAGGTTGATAACTAATTCTTCGTCGAATACTTTCTTTTATCTATTATTACAAAAAATAAAATAAAATATTGATTAACATAACTACAGAAGCGTGTACACATTACAATTAATTTGAAAATGATTGTTTTTATTTGACAAAAATAGGAAACATTATAGTTAATAGTGTAAAAAAAAAAAAGCTTAAGAAAATTTCATTTTTTGCCTATTGTCAACATCTGAATTCTACATATGGACGTGTTTTATTTAGTAGAACTAATTGATAGTCTAGCATAAATAACTTCAGGTACAAAGGTTGTGTCATTCCATTCTTCGTTGTATTTACAAGCGTAAAAAAAAAATGGATTTTTTTATTTGTTTTTTCAATTAGCACAAAAGAAAACAAGGCGGCGCCCCTTTTCTTTTAAAAGGTTTTATGCTAATGTAGCTATTTATACTGTATACGTTATAAGATAAGAATATTCTAGATGAATAATATAAAATAGTCTTACTTTTGTGAACTTATTCGATTTAAATTTGTTGATTTTTGAATAGATTGTTCATTAGTTAAATTCAATCTTGATATATTTTGATATTGTTGATGAATTTTATCAAAATACATATGTGTATTTTCATTTTGTTTTTTTATAATCGTAGATTTTGATATGATTTCAGATTCAGTTGTTGTAACTGTTGATGTTGATGTTGTTGTCGCTGTTGTTGCTGCTGCTGCTGCCATTGTTTCGGCACTAGCTGGTGGTGCTGCTGCTGTTGTTGTTGTTGTTGATGAAACAGTTTCATTTGTTGAAAATATATTACAACTAACTGGACCATTACATTGTATAAATATTCCAAATTGTGTTGGTGCTAATGGTGGTGTTTCATTTGATTTAGGTTTTTTTGTAACAATTTTCAAACGTTTTCGAGGTTCTTCATTATGTTCTTCGTCATCATCGTCTTCATCATCATCATCATCCGATGAGAGACGTTTCGTAGCCATTGGTGAATGTGAAACTACAAAAGAAAAATCGAAGAAAAAAAAAAAGAAACCTTCATTATAATATAAACATATGTAGACGTAAGCAAACAAAAGGAGGAACAAAAAAAAAACGAAAGAACTCTTATTTTACCTTTGTCCTTTAATAGAACAGGTGTTGGTGTTTGTCTATAGCTACGCATTTCATCAATTATTTGATTGATATATTTTTCACGTTGTTGACTTTCATTTTCATCTATTGGGAAAAAAAAAGAAAATTAAAATCGAATGAAAATAAATATTTCGAAAACAAAAAAAAAATTTCGAACTTCGATTATTAGATGTTAATAATAGTTGTTTTAATTTAAGTAAATAATCTGATGAATTTATTGATATAAGACGATAACGATTATCATTAAATTTTTTTAATAATGGTATTTGTTTTTCAATAGATATTTTTTCTGATAATGTTACTTGTTTAATTATAATAAAATCAGATTTTGTTAATAAATTAATAAATTCATCTAATGTACATAATGATGAATATATATTCATATATAAATCTTCTAGACAATAAAATATTGAACCCATACGTGATATAGTTAATATATTTGATATATTATCAAATGAAATATTTGATAATATTGAATCATTAGATGATAAATTATTAGAATTTTCATTAATTAAAAGATTTTTTGAATTTATATTATTATTATTTGACATAATTGAAGATGATAAATATTTATTTGAATATTTATTACGTCGTGTTATTAATCGATTTCGATTTTGTTGTGAATGCGTTTGTCGCATAAAATTAGTATCAATTAAAAATGTTTGAAAAAATTTATTCGATATTTGACGATGACGATTATTTAATAATGGATATAAATGAGATTTTCGAGTAGAACGAAAAAGTTTTGAATTATTTAGTGAATGTGAAATTAAATTAAGTGAAGATTTTGGTTTGTTTAAAATTTGTTTACCTAAAAAACAAAAGAAAAATACTTCTTATATATATATATACCATTTTTATTTTTTCAAAAAAAAAAAACAAGAAACTTCACATCTTATTTTTATTCTAAAAAAAAATTAATTTATACCTGTAGATGTTTTTTTATTTGAAAGATTTATTTCATGTTCTTGATTATTAGATAAATTATCTTGTGAATTAATATTAGTTGTTATTATATTGAATTGTTCATTTTCATCATCACTATTTGTATCATCTTCATCAAGAACAATTAATAATGGTTGTTCATTATTATCTGTTGAATTAGATGAAATTATTAAATGATTATCAACATAAGAATCGTCTTTTTCGTCTTTAATATTTGATTGAAAAATTTTGTCTAAACAAAAAAAAAAAAAACATTTTTTTTTTTTAAACTAAGATTATCATATATATTTCAATGACATTTTATAGGTTCTAAAGAACTTTTATCATTAAAATATTGACATGTTTGAATATTATAATTATAAAATATCTTAAGTTTTTCATGTATGACATTTTTGAATTCTCAACAATAAATATAAACACAACATTAATAAATCAGCTTGTTTTTTTCTATTGATACATATATGAAATATTAATAGATAACATTAGAAGAAACAAAAAAAGAAATTTAACGTTTGTTCTCAAAAGAAATAGTACCAGATGTATATTTATATCTATATGTCTTCAAGGCGAAATTAAATGGCACATAATATATTTGTTGTTTTTATTATATCTCAAAACCATTATTTGATTTCATATTGATACTATTAATACATTTTTATTGATTATTTTAAAAATTTCTTGAAAATTCTAATTCTATACAATAAAAATTTTGTTCAAAAAAACAAAAACTTATAAATATATCAACTATAGTCATGTTAAAATATAAAATAAATTTTTTTGTTATTTTCTTTCTGAAATTTATAGCGAAAAATATATTCTATTTATCGATGGTTAATATCGTTACAAAAGAATTTATTTTGATTGTTACCTGATTATAGTTGATATATATTTGTAATTTTCCTAAAAAATTTCTCATTATATAGGATTAGAATTTTCAGAAATTGGTACTTAATCAAAAATGTTTCTTTAGTATAAATTTAAAAGACTTAACGATAATAGTTTTGAAGTATAATCAAAAAAAAAAAATTATATGTGTCGGTTTATTTTAACTCGAGAAATATATTCAAAAAAAAAGTCTTTTACTATAATAAAAACAATCCTCATCTAGAATAATGTTTCTATGTAAAAAACGCATGATCGTCTAGAAATAATAGAATTTAAAAAATATTTCGGATGAACAAAACTAAAATAAATTAATTCATGTTTAACATCAAGTAGAACTTTGTACTTATTTATATGAATATAAAAAGTTCAATATGAATAATATTAAATATCTATATCGATATATATATATATATACGCACGCGCACGTCTGAAAAAAGATCAATCAATTGATTAGTATTAATAATAATTTGAATAGACAAACACAATTAATCGAATCTAATGGTCACGTATGTAATGTTTACCGTGTTGATCTGATGTTATATTTATATCAATCTCATTATAGTGCTGTTGATGTTGTTGTTTTTTATAATAATCAATAGAAAATATATTTAGATGTTCGAATATTCTATTAGTATTTGTATTCATTATCATCTGTTGAAGAAACTAATGTTCATATAAATTAAATATATATATAGAAAAAAACAAGTGTATTTTATTTTTTTATTCTCAAACAATATAATGACAGACGATCGTTCATTTAGTTTTAAAAAGAAAACTGAAAGGAGATTGAAGAAATGAGACTGTAAAAAAAAAAAAAAGAATAGGAGAGATTTCTACATAAATGAAAAAAGAAAACGTAGAAGAAAAAAAGGAAAGAAAAATTTTCTTTTGTCTTTAGGTTTTTTTATTCTCCTCTTTTTTAGTTTTGTCTAAAAAATGGAGAGAAAAAAAAATAAAAAAAGAAGAACTAACCATGAAACAGAACGATGATGACAAGGAAGAAATGTTTTTAGTAGACATTATATGGAACATATTACTACAATTTATATTGAATGAACGATGTGAACAGGCGTGACGCAATTTATTTGACAATGTAATAAGTTGCGAAAGAGAAAAAAAGAAAGAAAAAAAAAGAGTTTTTTTTACACGTGTTTCATGTCTTCATTAGGTGTTCTAGTTCTGTAACTTGTCAGAGATTTTTTTTTCTCGTCTTCTTTTTCTCATCTTGTTAGTTTTGCCGGTTTATTCACGGACCCGTAGGGTCATGGAAAAACGGAGCTATATAAAGAACTTACTAGTTTAATAAAGGATAATCATGGGCGATATATGTGCATCGAATTAGAAAAAAAAAAGAATTCTCCTGTTCTTTATTTAATACTATTATATTCTTTTTTTCTTGTTCACATCGAAGAGGAAAAAAAAAGCATCAAACTTTTTTTTTTTCTTTTTTACTGGGATTTTAACACAGTTGTTTGAGTGTCGACAATGAGAAAAAAATCCACCCGTTCAGACATTTGCAATCAACAAGTTGTTAGTTTTTTTTTAATTCTTTTATCTTTTCTAATATATAAATCCATGTCATTTTAAACTTCCTTATAATCTTGCAAAAAGAAAACGATAATTAAACATAAAATACTTACTTAATATTTTAATAAATATATATTGAAAAGAAAAAAAAAAAAAAAACAAAAAAATGGTTTTAGAAGATTTTTCGTCACCTTCTTTTTTTTTTAAAAAAAAATGAAATATGATTTGTAGTGGTATAGAGAAAAAAGAAAAGGTGATTATTATTTATTTTGGCTTCGGAATGTCTACTTAATTTTCTTTTTTCTTTTTCTTTTTAATGAATAACAATGATATGTAAACATTTGAAAGTATTGAAATGATTATTATTCGAAATGACGAATTTGATTAGATTTGAAATTCTATTATTTTGGAGATTTTTTTTTTGTTTGAATTTCAAGTTTTTTTTTCTTTTTTTATTACACCTTCAAATAATTGAATTTATATTAGTTCTATAAAAGGAAACAAACATCATGACTTCATGAATATTGAGAAACTGACATTTGTCAGTTCTCTTTACTAATCTACTTAGTTTAGATTAATATTTAGAGCATGTCTAAATATTATATTTAAAACATGTCGAAAAAATCTCTTTTATTTTTTGTCCTGAATTGATTTATTTATTATTTTAATACATGATCTAGATAATACAACCATTCTTTTCATATTTATCTCAGGAAATTTAACTTATCAAAGAATTCCAGGAAAAAATATATTAGCATACATAAATATATATCTAATATGTGTAAATCCATAAAACATATCTTTCTCATTTAATATTTTACATGACAAGGTACTCATGATATAAAATAACTTAAGAGTCACGTTCTTGAATGAACATAAATATATATATATATATATGAGTTTATCTAACAAGAAAAAAAAAAACAAGATCGCATATTGTATTATTTTTAAATCATCATCTGCTCAAAAGAAAAATACACTCCACCTATTTCTTCTTTTTTTTTTTTACTCTATGAATGCCGAGTAAAAAAAAGAAAATTGTAAGAAAACATCCATTACCTAAAGCCTTCAAGACATAAACATTTTTATTTTAAAAGGTTTCAGTTTATTCATTGTGAGTAATTTCAAATACTCCAAAAAAAAGAAGTAGAAGAAGAATAGAATCGCCCTATTTGTCGTTACGCTTTCGAGGTTATAATAACAGTAACAACATACATACAAACAAATGGTAACACTGACTAATGAATGAGTAAACAATAGACTTTTCTTCTTTTTTTTTTTTTTCTATATGACTATATAAAAGAATAGATATTTGTTTACTTAACTATCAAGGATATATTTAACGGTTGAAAAAAACATCTATACGTTATCATTTCACATTTTTCTTGACAAAAGAACATTACTATGAACAAATATTTTTTTTTTTTCTATGATAAAACTATTCATATGAATTTGTAAAAAGCAAAAAAAAAAGAAAAGAAAATATGTAAATAAACAATGACAACCTTTGCCCTTCAAAATATTTTCTCATCCATAACAATATATTATCTAATATATGTAAATATTGCTTACCGTTTGACATATTATATATTTGATATAAGAAAAAAGAAGAATATTGTTGAATATTTTTAAAGGTATATATATATATATATATATCTTTTTGTAATGTTAATAAAATAATAATAATAAACTTTCAGTACAATATTTATTAACAATAAACACTATAAATGATCAAATAACTTGACTAAACAATACATTCATATTCGAAATATTTTTTAAGTGACACCTATTTGCGTCTCGCATGATGGTATCGGTTTTGCATGAGTGAACACATACATTACAGAGCAAGACAAAGCTATACTATCTTCTTTTTTCTTTTTTTTTTTTTGCAATCAATCATACTCATGGATACTGTTTTTTCTTTCTGAATTATTTTCTATCGTCCTTCACATTTCTTATGATTGTAAAATGATTCGATCTAAATAAGCGACTATAATTTCTTTTTTTTTTTTTCGTTTTGTTCTCATTTTTTTTTTCGACAATGACAACACTAATAACTTCCGGTGTACATAAGTGTTACACGCTTGTTTTGTGTCATTATCATCACTGATTTAAATCAAAAACCAATGTTTGCCTGTGCATATATATACAGGTGTGCATCAATGTATATAGAAATATATATATATGAGAATATGAAACAGCAGTGTAATGTATATATGAGAAAAGAAATGATTGAGAATAAAGACAATACTGTGAATAAGCGACAGAACATAAATAAAATCATTATTATATTCACCAATAAAAGGTGAAGTTTTCAAACATATGATTTTATAACGTCGGGTTAAATTATCGATGATACTATTTAAGAAAAAAAAAAGTCAATTATGATCAAACAAAGAGAACAACTAATCCAATTACCTATTGTTTATTGTTCTTATAAAGAAAAAACAAAACAAAAAGACTTCAACCTTTTTTGCTTACTAATCATTGAAAATAATCACAAAACGAAAAAGAAATAAAAAAAAAAAAAATCAATTTCTTTTATATATTTTTTTCTTTTTTTTACTTACATAATTTTTTTTTTTGCGAATCTAAAACAAATGGTCTTATCTTAATGTCCACTGTCATATGATAAGAAAAACTTTGCTTCTCTCTTTCACATTTTTATTTATATATATAAAGATTACACAATTCAAGGGCATTTTTATCAAGTTTCATATATATATATATATATATATTATTTTTTTTATCTTCCATTGTGATTTCAAGTGCATTTCGTACGTAAAAGAAGAGCAGCTGAAACCTAACTGACCTCTGTACTGTTCTATGCTAAAATGAATGTTTGCTTTTATGTGTGTGTGTGTTTTTTTTTGTTTCGTTGAAATAAAAGAATGATAAGATAAGACGAAAAAGAATATGCGTAAGCCTATGGATTTTATAGTCATAGCTAAAATATCTTTCAAAACAGAAGTACTTTTGTCTTTGATAAACTATGATACTAAAAGCAAACTCTTATTATTTAAATATAAGAACGTTTACTAACATCTTTTTTGTTATCATTTATATTATGATCATGTCTTATCTAATCTTTAAAAACTTTTGATATCGTCTTGTGCTTTTTTTTTTGTCTTTGTCTAATCACTGAGAACGATGAACAACTTACTATCAATATACTTATTCTTTGAATATTCATGTACATAATTACGATATATATATATGTATATACAACTTATTGAATTGATATTTTCTTTTTTTTATATCAAGGATAGATGAAACTCATTGCATAAAATCAATTTATTACAAACATATGTACTTGTATTCATCGATTTTTTTTTCGTTTCATATAAATATGCATATGAGTGTGTTATTTGGTACTAGTAAAAAAGGAAAGAGAAATCAGTCTACTTAATACAATTTCATTGACAATAAATAGGATACTTAGTAATATGATTCAATTTTTGTTTTCTTAGAATGAAAAAAGAAAACTTGAAGAATAAAAAGTATATTACGAACTACGTAGATCATCCTACTATGTAAATTTTTATTAAGTGTTATGTTTAATGAAAAGTTTTATAGTGAATACTTACATATCTCGATCATTTTTTTTTTTATATCACAAATAAACATTTTAATAAATTTTCAAGAATAAAAGAAAAACTTTTTTTTTTAAAATTGTTTATCAAGTAAAAAGGATATTGCTACAATTAAAAACTTGCCTTCGTGTCACAATGATGTAGTAGGATTCGTAATGTCGTTGTTTTGTTTTACTTTCTTCCTTTTTTTTTTTCTCACTACTTGAAATTTTCTTTCTTTTTTTCCTCACCGTATGGCATCAAATTACAAGTATCTATGGATGCTGAAGAGTGATTGTGCCCTTCGTTACAGTGTATTTTACTAATCTTTTTTTTTTTTTTTGCTTCTTTTTATATCAACATTTTTATTATATATTTATATATATATATGATAGTGATAAAAGAAAATAATATTCTATAATTCTTTTAAGATTAAGAATGGCATTGTCATATATGATAGAATAAAAAATCATAGTCTATCTATAAATGTTACTGTATCTGTATGTTTTAATTTCTGATGAATGATTTTACAATATGTATTACCTGATACAA